AGCCACCACACCTGGCCTACTAGAAATATTTTTAAAAGTTGTATTCTCATAAACAATTAAAATTTCATTCCTTCATTTAAAAATGTTTTGTAAGGAAGAAAAAAGACAAGAATATGTAATAATATATTTTAGATATGCAGAAAGTCTACTTAATTTTTAGGTTAGACAGTTTAATACAAAGCAGGTCCCTTTTTGAATTAGTATTGTTTTATTTATTTAAAGAATTATATGGATCAAAAGAGTGCAATTATGAAGATAAAAATTCTTTTTCATAGACACAGAAATTAAAAGAACTTTTCCTCAGAAAGATGCACAATTCACCTCTATTCATAGTAAATAAAACGTTTTAGTAAACAAATATCTTACCCTCAAATACACTTTTATTCTAAATATTGATATTCATTAATTACATAAGAATTCATGTAGAAGCTATTCATTCCTCATGTCTTATAGTGCTTTATTATTATTTTTTTTTAAATTATACTTTAAGTTCTAGGGTGCATGTGGATAACGTACAGGTTTGTTACATATGTATACTTGTGCCATGTTGGCGTGCTGATAGTGCTTTATTTTTAGATATATAAATGTTGTTCAGTCTATCACTGCTAAATGAGCAATTTAGCACACACACATGTACTTATTTTATTAAAAAAATGGAGTTGAGAATAATTTATATACATACATGTATACTGACATTTATAAAATTGTAAATCATATTGGAAAAATACTATACATATTATTCTCAGTATGCAAAGTAGGAGAAAAACACCTAAAACCTTTAATCAGTCTTAAAATTCTGATAATTTTATAAATTAGTTCTAATCCATAGCAGTGAGACCATTTCCTTTTCTTTTTTTTTGAGATAGAATCTTGCTCTGTCACCCAGGATGCAGTGCAGTGGCACAATCTTGGCTCACTGCAACTGCCATCTCCTGGGTTCAAGTGATTCTTGTGCCTCAGTCCCCTGAGTAGGTGGGATTACAGGTGAGTACCACCACACCTGGCTAATTTTTGCATTTTTGTAAAGATGGGGTTTCACCATGTTGGCCAGGCTGGTTTTGAACTCCTGAGCTCAGGCAATCCACCAGCCGTGGACTCCCAAAGTGTTGGGATTACAGGTGTGAGCCACTGTGACTGGCTGAGGCCATTTCTTACATGAGGCTTACAAGGTAGACTTTATATGCTGCTGGGACAAAAGTTAAGTGGTAAATATGACATCTGATGATCTAACTGACGTTCTCAGCAGATACTTTGCATCACTTATAAAACAAAAGAAAGTCAAACACAGAGTTTTATTTTTAACATAATTTTAAGTTAACTTTAAGTACAAGATACATATCTGTTAAATTATTACTGATCTACCACATTATTTTTTAACTTGTTGAATACCTATAATCTCTATTCTTTCTGAAAGCTGGCATTTATTAAACATGTGGGGTTTTCACATGTTCCTGACATTATTTATAATTTCAGGTGTTTCATCTAAGTCAGAGTAATAAAACGCTTACTCTCCACTGATTTTTACACTGGAAAAATGTTGTTTGTGGCAATGCAGTAGCTACATATCATTCCTTTAGTCCTTTACATGCAGACCGAAGAAATGAAAACTGGCTGGGCACGGTGGCTCATGCCTGTAATCCCAACATGTTGGGAGGCCGAGGTGGGCGGATCACTTGAGCCCAGCAGTTCGAGACTAGCTTGGCCAACATGGTGAAACCCTGTCTCTGCTAAAAATACAAAAATTAGCTGTGTGTGTGGTGATACACGCCTATAATCCCAGCTACTTGGGAGGCCGAGGCAGGAGGATCACCTGAGCCTGGGAGGCGGAGGTTGCAGTGAGCCAAGATCGTGCCACTGCACTCCAGCCAGGGCAACAGAGCAAGATCCTATCTTAGAAAAAAAAAAAAAGGAAATGGAAAACTGTTAAGAATATGCTTTTCATAAAAGTCCAGTTACTTATTTACAAAATACTAAAGACTAATGATAAGGTGATATGAACTGAGGAGTACCATTACCCAAGCCTTCTGTACCTGAAGTCCAGTTGTAAAAAAAAAAAACAAAATCCATCCACCTTTGTCCTAAACAGGTCTACATTGTACTTCTAATCTTGTACAGTCTTCATGAAATTAACGTCTTCATGTTATCTTAAGCACTTTGGTTTAGAAACTTCTTAAAATATCATTCAAAAAGAGCTTAGAGCATGTACAGAGTGCATATAAAGCTCTATTTTACATAATTGTATGTATGGCTATCTCAGGAACATGATATGTTATTTAGAAAAGGTCATAGGGCAAAAAAATAAAACAAAACACCAGGTCCAGGTACAAATAATCCCAGTCAGTTACGCTGGCTCATGCCTGTAATCCCAGCACTTTTGGAGGCTGAGGTGGGAGGATTGCTTGAGCCTAGAAGTTCAAGACCAGCCTGGGCAACATGGTGAAACCCTATCTGTACAAAAGACACAAAAATTTAGCCGGTCCTAGTGGTGCACACCAGTAGTCCCAGCTACTTGGGAGGCTGAGGTAACAGAATCACCTGAGCCTGGGAAGTTGAGGCTGCAGTGAGTCATAATCACACCATTACACTCCAGCCTGGGCATCAGAGTGAGACCCTGTCTCGAAAAAAGAAAAATTAAAAGAAACACCCAAAAACAATCCCCAAGAGGACTAAGAGGGAAATAAAACTTTGGTGCCAGACAAGACAGCATCAAGATAAAGCCAAAGAGTTGCTAAAAACAAAAAATAATAATTCAGGCAATTGGTTGTCTGCGTTCTGCAATTTGACAAATTCCACTCGACACTAATATACAGAACTCTTTTGGTCATTGTCACACAGCAGAAATGCTTCTATATGTGAAGTTGCTCTGGACTGCCTGTTACAGCTATTAAATGGAAACCCCAGAATTCATCCTGAATGTCTCTGAACGTGAAAAGTCACATGTGTTAATTTAATTCAGTATAAAATTTCCATGTTCTCCCACAGACGAATTTCAGCAGTGTCTTCCCAGTATGAAACCACGTCTTATCACTCCACCAGATTCAGAATTGGTATTAATTCTGACAGAAGCTGAAACTAAAGCCTATGTTTTCTTTAGTCAACATAAGGCCTTTTTTCAGAGATGATGTGAATTAATAGTTTAAACAACCAAAATAAAAGAACAGACAAGAATTTTTTTTTCATACATCCATTTCCATTGCTAGAGCTGCAGTGATCAGCAGAAGCATCTGCCTGGCTGTCAGTATCAAGGTGGATCCAGGCTGTTGGAACTGGTGGATCCAGGGGTTGGAATGGAGGATCCAGGGGTTGGAAC